GGGTAGGGGCTTGGGGGGTTTGGGGAGGGGGGCAGCACCGGGAGGGTTTCGGGGTTTGAGGGGGATAAGCCCGGGTGGGTGGTTGGGGGTTTTTGGAGGGGGGCAGCTCAGGGGTTGATTGGGGGCCGTGAAGGGTTTTGGGGGGAGGCAGCCCGGGTGGGGGGGCTTGGGGCGTTTAGGAGGGGGGACCACGGCGTTTTGGCTTTGGGGGTTGTGGACTGTGGGGTGGAGGAGGAAATGGGATTGGGGGAATCCAGCCTGTGGGGGGTGGGGGGTGGGATGGAGGGGACACGGTGACATCGCGGGGTGTTGGGGGAACACACAGTGTAGCCCCTGGGGCTGGATGGGGGGGCACAGGGATATTCCTTGGAAAACTTGGATGAGGGGGATGGCACAGCGTTATTCCATGGAAAACCTGGATGAGAGGGGGGCACAGTTCCTCCTCCCGGGGGCTGCACGGGGCGGGGGTCGCATCACCCTCACGGGGGTGGGGGTGGGGGTACCCCAATAATGGGGCGGGGGGTGTCGACAACCCCCCCCAAAACTCCCTCCCTGCCGTGATTTCGGGTCACTTTTCCCGAGTTCCGGGAATGGGGGGGGATTTTTGGGGAGCGAAGAAATCTCTACACCCCCGAGTTTGTTTTTTTTTTGGGAAGGGGGGGGATGAAGGCGGCCCCTTCCTCTTCCTCCCCCAGAGCTGTCGGCGGCGGGCAGCAAATACATCGACAGCGAGGTGGAGAACGCCATCGACGGCGTGAAGAGGATGAAGAGCCTCATGGACAGGACGAGCAAGGAGCACCAGGAATTCCTGCACACCCTGGAGGAGACCAAGAGGAGGAAGGAGGTGCGCGAGGGGGGGAGGAGGAGAGGGGAGGGAGAGCCGAGATCGCCGAGGGGAGAGTGGGAAAGGGTCGGGGTGGAGTGGGGGGGAAGAGATCCTGGGGGATCGGGGTGTGCCGGGAGTGTGGGAATGATGTCCCGGGGGATCGGTGTGTGCCGGGAGCGTGGGAATGTTGTGCCAGGGCTCGGTGTGTGCCGGGAGTGTGGGAATGTCATCCTGGGGGATCGGTGTGTACCGGGAGTGTGGGAATGATGTCCTGGGGGATCGGTGTGTGCCGGGAGTCTGGGAATGCCGTGCCAGGGCTCGGTGTGTGCCGGGAGTGTGGGAATGATGTCCTGGGGGATCGGTGTGTGCCGGGAGTGTGGGAATGCCGTGCCAGAGCTCGGGGTGTGCCGGGAGTGTGGGAATGCCGTGCTGGGGGATCGGTGTGTGCCGGGAGTGTGGGAATGCCGTGCTTGGGGGTCAGTACATCCCGGGAGTGTGGGAATGCCGTGCTGGGGGATCGGGGTGTGCCGGGAGTGTGGGAATGCCGTGCCAGGGATTGGTTGTTTCCCAGGAGTCTGGGAACGCAGTCCCGGCCATCGCTGTGTCCCAGGAGTCTGGGAATGCCTTGCCAGGGATCGGTGTGTGCCGGGAGTCAGGGATGTCAGGGAGTCAGTATGTCCCGGGAGTCAGGAAATGCCGTGCCAGAGCTCGGTGTGTGCCCGGAGTGTGGGAATGTTGTGCCAGGGATCGGGGTGTGCCGGGAGTGTGGGAATGCCATCCTGGGGGATCAGTGTGTGCCGGGAGTGTGGGGATGATGTCCTGAGGGATCGGGGTGTGCCGGGAGTGTGGGAATGCCGTGCTAGGGGGTCAGTACATCCCGGGATTCTGGGAATGCCGTGCCAGGGATCGGTGTGTGCCGGGAGTGTGGGAATGTTGTGCCAGGGATCAGTGTGTGCCGGGAGTGTGGGAATGATATACCAGGGATTGGTGTGTGCCGGGAGTGTGGGAATGATGTCCTGGGGGATCGGTGTGTGCCGGGAGTGTGGGAACGCCGTGCTTGGGGGTCAGTACATCCCGGGATTCTGGGAATGCCGTGCCAGGGATCGGTGTTTCCCAGGAGTCTGGGAATGCCGGGCATCGCTGTGTCCCGGGAGTGTGGGAATGCTATCCCGGGGGTCAGTGTGTCCCGGGAGACTGGGAATGCCGTGCCAGGGCTCGGTGTGTGCCGGGAGTGTGGGAATGTCATCCTGGGGATCGGTGTGTGCCGGGAGTGTGGGAATGATGTCCTGGGGGATCGGTGTGTGCCGGGAGTGTGGGAATGTTGTGCCAGGGATCAGTATGTCCCGGAAGTCAGGGAATGCCGTGCCAGAGCTCGGTGTGTGCCGGGAGTGTGGGAATGACGTCCTGAGGGATCGGGGTGTGCCGGGAGTCTGGGAACGCCGTGCTTGGGGGTCAGTACATCCCGGGATTCTGGGAATGCCGTGCCAGGGCTCGGTGTGTGCCGGGAGTGTGGGAACGCAGTCCCGAGCATCGCTGTGTCCCGGGAGTCTGGGAATGCCGTGCCAGGGCTCGGTGTGTGCCAGGAGTGTGGGAATGCAGTCTCGGGCATTGATGTGTCCCTGTCCCGGGAATGCCATCCCGAGGGTCAATGTGTCCCGGGGTCAGTATATCCCGGGGTGGGTGCATCCCGGGAGCAGGACGGTGCCATCCCGGGGTTGCTGCATCCCGGAGGTGGGTGCATCCCGGGCTCGGTGCATCCCAGAGCAGGACGGTGCCATCCCGGCGTCGGTGCCATCCTGGGGGTCGGTGCCATCCCGGAGCAGGACGGTGCCATCCTGGGGGTCGGTGCCATCCCGGAGCAGGACGGTGCCATCCCGGGGGTGTGTTCCCACGGGCTGCCGGCTCCCTGCCGTTCTTGGGGCTCATGCTGTGCTGTTCCCGCAGGAAGCGGTGGAGCTGGCGCGGCAGAAGGAGCGGGAGCTGGCGGCTCGGCAGGCCGAGTGCAACGACACGGTGCAGGAGCTGTGGGAGCAGTGCAAGCCCTGCCTCAAACAGTCCTGCGTGCGCTTCTACTCGCGGACCTGCCACAGCGGCTCCGGCCTCGTGGGGCGCCAGGTCAGCCGCGGGGCACCCCCAAAATGGGGCGCGGTTTGGGCTCCTTCCACTCCCCTCCCCGTTGGTGGCTCCGGGGTGGATGGTGAGGGGTCCCACAGCTAGCAGGGACACCGGGAATGGGGGGGATTTTGTCCTCATCCCACTCCCCGTCATCCAGAGGGCTGGCAGGTCCCACAGAACACAGGGACACCGGGAATGGGGGGGATTTTGTCCTCATCCCACTCCCCGTTATCCAGAGGGCTGGCAGGTCCCACAGCACGCAGGGATATCGGGAATGGGGGGAAATTTGCCCTCATCCCACTCCCCATCATCCAGAGGGCTGGCAGGTCCCACAGCTCGCAGGGACACCGGGAATGGGGGGGATTTTGTCCTCATCCCACTCCCCGTCATCCAGAGGGCTGGCAGGTCCCACAGCTCACAGGGACACCGGGAATGGGGTGGAGTTTGCCCTGACCCCGCTCCCGTTCCCATTATCCAGAGGGTGGGCAGGCGAGGGATCTCCCGTCCCCCCGGGATGTTGGGAATGGGGCTGAGCTCTCCCCGCCCCCTCTCGTGCCGGCAGCTGGAGGAATTCCTGAACCACTCGTCGCCCTTCTCCATCTGGGTGAACGGGGAGCGCCTGGACTCGCTGCTGGAGCGGGACGAGCGGCAGGAGCGGCAGCTCGAGGACTTGGAGGAGCGCTTCGGGCTGCTGGAGGACGGCATCGACGGCCTCTTCCAGGACAGCTTCCAGCTCCACGGCCGCGCCCTCCCGTTCTTCCAGGCGCCCTTCGGGGGTTTCCGCGAGTCCTTCCGCGACCCCCTCCCCGCGCAGCGCGTGCGGCTCTTCCCGCAGCGCCGCTTTTCCCGGGATCTGCACCCGCCGTTCCTGCGGCACCACCCGCACCGCGGCTTCCAGCACCTCTTCCAGCCGCTGCTGGACATGACCCAGCGCATGCTGGAGGACGCCCGAGGGAGCTGGGAGCGCCCCTGGGGGGATTTGGGGCCGGGTAAGGCGGGGCAAGGGGTTGGTGGGTGAGATTCCCAGAAATCCAAACACCTCCCTCCTCCTCCTCCTGCCGCTTGTTTGGGTTTGAGGGGATGAGCTCAGCCCCGCCCGGGGCATCCCGGAGAGGTCCCGGGGGAGTTTGGGAATGACGAGGAGAGGATGTTTGAGGGGATGGGGTTTGGGGAATGGTCTGGGATGGGGTTTGGGGAGGGTCTGGGATGGGGTTTGGGGAGGGTCTGGGATGGGGTTTGGGGATGTTCTGGGATGGGATTTGGGGGATGTTCTGGGATGGGGTTTTTGGGATGGTCTGGGATGGGGTTTGGGGGATGGTCTGGGATGTTCTGGGATGGGGTTTGGGGAGGGTCTGGGATGGGGTTTGGGATTTCTGGGATGGGGGTTGGGATTTCTGGGATGGGGGTTGGGATTTCTGGGATGGGGGTTGGGGATGTTCTGGGATGGGGTTTTTTTGGGATTTTCTGGGCTGGGTTGGGATATTCAGGGCTAGGGTTTGGGGATGTTCTGGGCTGGATTTTGGGGGGGATATTTAGGACTGGGGTTTTGGGATGTTCTGAGCTGGGGTTTGGGATGGTCTGGGCTGGGGTTTTGGGCATGATCTAGGCTGGGGTTTGAGAATGTTCTGGGATGGAGTTTTGGGATTTCTGGGCTGGGTTTTTGGGATGTTCTGGGATGGGTTTTGGGGGATGGTCTGGGATGGGGTTTGGGGATGGTCTGGGATGGGGGTTTGGGGATGTTCTGGGATAGGGTTTGGGGATGTTCTGGGATAGGGTTTGGGGATGTTCTGGGATGGGGTTTTGGGATGTTCTGGGATGGGGTTTTGGGATGTTCTGGGATGGGGTTTTGGGGATGTTCTGGGATGGGGTTTGGGGATGGTCTGGGCTGGGGTTTTGGGCATGTTCTAGGCTGGGTTTGGGGATGGTCTGGGATGGGGTTTGGGATTTCTGGGGTGGGGCTTGGGGAGGGTCTGGGATGGGGTTTTGGGATGTTCTGGGCTGGGGTTTGGGGGATGTTCTGGGATGGGGTTTGGGGGATGTTCTGGAATGGGGTTTGGGGGATGTTCTGGGATGGGGTTTGGGATGTTCTTGGCTGGCGTTTTTGGGATGTTCTGGGATGGGGTTTGGGGGATGTTCTGGGATGGGGTTTGGGGGATGTTCTAGGCTGGGGTTTGGGAATGTTCTGGGATGGGGTTTGGGATTTCTGGGCTGGGATTTGGGGGATGTTCTGGGATGGGGTTTTGGGGATGTTCTGGGATGGGGCTTTGGGGATGTTCTGGGATGGGGTTTTGGGGATGTTCTGGGATGGGGTTTTGGGGATGTTCTGGGATGGGGTTTTGGGGATGGTCTGGGATGGAGTTTTGGGATTTCTTGGTTGGGATTTTGGGATGTTCTGGGATGGGGTTTTGGGGATGTTCTGGGATGGGGTTTTGGGGATGGTCTGGGATGGGGTTTGGGATATTCTGGGCTGGGGTTTTTGGGATGCTCTGGGCTGGTTTTTTTGGGATATTCTGGGCTGGGGTTTTTGGGATGTTCTGGGCTGGTGTTTTTGGGATAACCCCCACCCCCTCCCCGCCCCGGTCCGGGTTGCCATCCCGGGAAGGTGTTTGTTTTGGGATCGGCGCCGGCTGCAAACGCCGCCCTCGGAGAGCTCAGCATTCCATGGGAAAAGGATTTTTATGGCCCCTGGGGGGGGTTGGTTGGGAATAACCCAGGGCTGGGGACCCCTCCTCACCCCGAGGGGTTTTGGGGGCTGGGATTCCCACAGAGTCCCGGAACTTCAGCAACGACCGCATGGTGTGCAAGGAGATCCGCAGGAATTCCGCCGGCTGCCTCAGGATGAGGGACGAGTGCGAGAAGTGCCGGGACATCCTGGCTGTGGGTGAGCCGGGAATGCCATGGGAATGGGGTGGGAATGGGATACAGGGATGGGATGGGATGGGATGGGATGGGATGGGATGGGATGGGATGGGATGATGGATGGGATGGGATGGGATGGATGGATGGGGAATGGGGAGGGAGGGAGGGGAATGTTTGGGGGATGAGATAAAGGAAGGGGGGATATGGGGTGCAGGAACCGGGACAGGACGGGATGAGCTGGGAGATGGGGTGGGGTAGGAATGGGATGGGATGGGATGGGATGGGATGGGATGGGATGGGATGGGATGGGATGGGATGGGATGGGATGGGAATGGGGAGGAGGGAGGGGAATGTTTGGGGGATGAGATAAAGGGAAGGGGGGATAAGGGGTGCAGGAACCGGGACAGGACGGGATGAGCTGGGAATGGGGTGGGGTAGGAATGGGATGGGATGGGATGGGATGGGATGGGATGGGGATGGGATGGGATGGGATGGGATGGGATGGGATGGGATGGGATGGGATTGGATGGGATGTGCTGGGATGAGCTGGGATGGGATGTACTGGGATGTACTGGGATGCACTCCCCTCTCCTGTGCTGACCCCCTTCCCCCACCCTTTTTTTCCCAGACTGCGGGCAGGAGTCGCCGTCGCAGGGGGAGCTGCGGGAGCAGCTGGAGGACGCGGTGCGGGTGGCCGAGCGCTTCACCCGGCGCTACGACGACCTGCTGGGCGCCCTGGAGGCCGAGCTGCTCAACAGCACCGCGACCCTGCAGCGCCTGAGCCGCCAGTTCGGCTGGGTCAGCCGCCTGGCCAACCTGAGCCGAGCCGGGGATGGGGACAGCGACACCGCCCTGCGCGTCACCACGGTGAGAGCCAAGGGGTGGGATTGATGGGATACAGGGATGGGATACAGGGATGGGATACAGGGATGGGATACAGGGATGGGATACTGGGATGGGATACAGGGATGGGATACTGGGATGGGATGGGATACAGGGATGGGGTACAGGGATGGGATACAGGGATGGGGTGGGATACAGGGATGGGGTACAGGGATGGGATACAGGGATGGGATACAGGGATGGGGTACAGGGATGGGATACAGGGATGGGGTACAGGGATGGGGTACAGGGATGGGGTGGGATACAGGGATGGGATACAGGGATGGGATACAGGGATGGGGTGGGATACAGGGATGGGATACAGGGATGGGGTGGGATACAGGGATGGGATACAGGGATGGGATACAGGGATGGGGTGGGATACAGGGATGGGGTACAGGGATGGGATACAGGGATGGGATACAGGGATGGGATACAGGGATGGGGTGGGATGGGATGGGATGGGGGTGGGATGGGATGGGATACAGGGATGGGGGTGGGAGGGGTGGATACAGGGATGGGATGGGGTGGGATACAGGGATGGGATGGGGTGGGATGGGATGGGATGGGATGGGATACAGGGATGGGGTGGGATGGGGTGGGATACAGGGATGGGATGGGATGGGAATGGGGTGGGGGCACCGCCGGGGCACGGGGCTGCCACGGCACCGGGGCACCGCCCTGCACCCGGGACACCCGGCGGGGACCCCAAATACACCCTGAAACACCCGGCGGGGAACCCCAAATCAATCCTCATCTACCTGGATGGGAATCCCAAATCCATCCTGATCCACCCACCCGGGAACCCCCAATACATCCTGAAACACTCGGCCAGGAACCCCAAACCCAAATCCATCCTGATCCACCCAGCTGAGCCCCAAATCCATCCTGATCCACCCAGCTGGGAACCCCAACCCCAAATCCATCCTGAACTGCCTGGCCAGGAACCCCAAATCCATCCTGATCCCCCCAGTTGGGAACTCAAATCCATCCTGATCCACCCAGCTGGGAACCCAAGTCCATCCCAAATCCACCTGCCCGGGGACCCCAAATCCATCCTGATCCACTTGGCCAGGAACCCCAAATCCATCCTGATCCACCCAGCTGGGAACCCCAAACCATCCTGATCCCCCCAGCTGGGAACCCCAAACCATCCTGATCCCCCCAGCCCATCCCTAACCCCAAATCCATCTCAATCCTCCCTCCCAGGGCCTGGAACCCCCCAAATCCCCCCTCCCAGGGTCTGAAACCCCCAAATTCCCCCTCCGTGTCCTGCCCCCTCGTTCCGCCCCCAGCAGGGTCTGGCTCCACCAGAACTGGGTCAGGGGCAGAAAGGGCCGATTGTGCTCCCTCCGGGAACGCCTCCCTCGGGATCCGGGCGCCCCTCCAGGGCTCGGGGGCCCCTCCAGCGGTGAGAGGGGCCATCCCATCCCATCCCACATCCCATTCCCAGGTGCTGTCCAAGGCCCCGAACCCGCTGGACCCCTCTGCGCCCCCGGACACGCAGGTGACGGTGCAGCTGTGGGACTCGGAGCCGCTGGCGCTCACCGTGCCCGGCCACATCCCCTGGGACGATCCCAAATTCATGGAGATCGTGGCCGAGCAGGCGCTCGGGCGCTACAAGGAGAACGCCATGTGAGCCCGGGGAACACCCCTAAAACACCCCCAATCCCCCCAAAAAAACCACGGGGAGGGGGTCACAGCGGGCTCATCCCTTCTTTTGTTAATCCCACAGAGAGTAGCAGGGAGATCCCGATGCTCCGCAGCACATCCAGCCCCATTCCAAGCGGGAATTGTCACCGTTGTTGTGCCCTACCCCACCCCAACCTCTCCCTCTTCCCGCTGCAGGGACCCCCCTTCCCCTGCCGGGGGTCCCGAACAGGCAATAAAGGTAGAGTTGAACCCTTGGATCTGCTTCCCGCAGGTTTTGGGGGCACTCCCGTGGGGAAAAAAAGGGGGGAAAAAAAAGGGGGAAAAAAAGGGAGGAAAAGGGGAAAAAGGGGGGAAAAAAAGGGGGAAAAAGGGGGAAAAAGGGAGGAAAAAGGGGGGAAAAAGGGAGGAAAAGGGGAAAAAGGGGGGAAAAAAAAGGGGGGAAAAAAAAGCGGCCTGGGGGCCACAAATGGATATTGGAAAATTGGGGGGGGGGGATCCAAGGATAGGGGACCCCCCCAGCGCACACCCAAAGGGAAAATGAGGGAGAGCTGGATCCTTGGATTTTGCTTTCCTGCGGTTTTGGGGACACCCCTGAAGGAGGAGGTGGGGAAAAGCAGCCTGGGGGTCGTCCCGGGTGCTGGAAAATGGGATGATGATCCCAGGGAACGAGCCCGGGGACAAATCCTGCTGGGAACACCCCGGGACACAGCCCCTGTCCCTGCTGATCCCCAAATCCCACCGGGAACCCCCCACAGGCACCCACGGAGCGATCCAGGGGCAGATCCGCTTTATTGGGGGGGATCAAGCTGGGGGTCCCAGCCCCAATCCCATCCCAATCCCACCCCTGATCCCTTGGGAATGGATCCTCAAACCCCACAGGCACCCACGGAGTGATCCAGGGACAGATCCGGTGATGGATTTGGAATAAGAGGGATCAGCTGTGGGAAAGGGGTGGGATTTGGGATAAGGGGGATCAGCTGTGGGAAAGAGAGTGGGAGATGGGATAAGAGGGATCAACTGTGGGGGGTGGGAGATGGAAAAGGGGGATCAGCTGTGGGAAAGGGGATGGATTTGGGATAACGGGGATCAGCTGTGGGAAAGGGGATGGATTTAGGATAACGGGGATCAGCTGTGGGAAAGAGGTGGGATTTGGGATAAGGAGGATCAGGGGGGAAAGGGATGGGAGAGGGGAAAGGGGTTGGGATTTGGGATAAGGGGGATCAACTGTGGGAAAGGGGTGATGGAAAAGGGGGATCAGCTGTAGGAAAAGGGTGGGATTTGGGATAAGGGGGATCAACTGTGGAGGGTGGGAGATGGAAAAGGGGGATCAGCGTGGGAAAGGGGATGGATTTGGGATAAGGGGGATCAGCGTGGGAAAGAGGTGATGGATTTGGGATAAGGGGGATCAGCTGTGGGAAATGGGGGGGAGATGGAAAAGGGGGATCAGCTGTGGGAAAGGGGTTCGAGAGGGGAAAGGGGCTGGGATTTGGGATAAGAGGGATCAGCTGTGGGGAAAGGGGTGGGATTTGGGATAAGGGAGTTGGATAAATGGAATAAGGGGGATCAGCTGTGGGAAATGGGGGGGAGATGGAAAAGGAGGATCAGCTGTGGGAAAGGGGATGGGAGAAATGGAATAAGGGGGATCAGGTGTGGGAAAGGGGTGATGGATTTGGGATAAGGGGGATCAGCTGTAGGAAATATGGGAAAGGGGAAGGGGGGGAGTTGGGATAAGGAGGATCAACGTGGGAAAGGGGTGGGATTTGGAATAAGAGGGATCAGCTGTGGGAAAGGGGATGGGAGATGGGATAAGGGGGATCAACTGTGGGGGGTGGGAGATGGAAAAGGGGGATCAGCTGTGGGAAAGGGGATGGATTTGGGATAAGGGGGATCAACTGTGGGAAAGGGGTGATGGAAAAGGGGGATCAGCTGTAGGAAAGGGGTGGGATTTAGGATAAGGGGGATCAGCTGCGGGAAAGGGGGTGGGAGATGGGATAAGGGGGATCAGGTGTGGGAAAAGGGTGGGATTTGGAATAAGAGGGATCAGCTGCGGGAAAGGGGTGATGGATTTGGGATAAGATGGATCAGCTGTGGGAAAGGGGTGATGGAAAAGGGGATCAGCTGTGGGAAAAGGGTGGGATTTGGAATAAAAGGGATCAGCTGTGGGAAAGGGGTGGAATTTGGGATAAGGGGGATCAGCGTGGGAAACGTGGGAGAGAGGAAAGGGGGTTGGATAAATGGGATGGGATAAGGGGGATCAGCTGTGGGAAAGGAGGATGGGATAATTGGGATCAGCTCTGGGAAAGGGGATGGATTTAGGATAAGGGGGATCAGGTGTGGGAAAGAGGTGGAATTTGGGATAAGGGGGATCAGCTGTTGGAAAGGGGTGATGGATTTGGGATAAGGGGGATCAGCTGTGGGAAAGGGGTGGGAAAGGGGAAAGGGGCTGGGATTTGGGATAAGGGGGATCAGCTGCGGGAAACGTGGGAGAGGGGAAAGGGGGTTGGATAAATGGAATGGGATAAGGGGGATCAGCTGTTGGAAAGGGGTGGGATTTGGGATAAGGGGGATCAGCTGTGGGAAAGGGGTGATGGAAAAGGGGAATCAGCTGTGGGAAGAGGGGCTGAGAACTGGAATGGGAAGAGGGACTGGAATGTGGGAATGGGGGCCCAGCTGTGGGAAAGGAGGGTTGGAATTGGGATTGGAATTGGGAATGGGGGGATGGAAGTGGGAATGGGGGATTGGAATTGAGAATGGGGGATTGGAATTGGGAATGGGGGCTGGATTTGGGAATGGGGGAATCACCTGCAGGAAGGGTTATTGGAATTGGGAATCAGCATTGGATTTGGGAAGGGGTGCTGGAATCATGAATGGGTTTGGGATTTCGGGAATGAGGGACAGCTGGAAATGGGATATCCCAAAAATGACCCTGGAGATCCCGGGAATGAGGGACAGCTGGGAATGGGACACCTCAAAGACACCCTGGATCCGGGAATGAGGGACACTGGAAATGGGACACCCAAAATTACCCCGGATTCAGGAATGGGACACCCCAAAGTCATCCTGAATCCAGGAATGGGGCACCCCATGTCACCAGGATCCGGGAATGGGACATCCCAAAGTCACCCTGGATCTGGGAATGAGGGACACTGGGAATGCAGGGTCCCCCCCGCCCTCCTCCCTGTCCCCCCCCCCGAGGATCCCTCAAAAACACATCCCAGACCTTCGTGTGGGATTCCCTTTGTTTGGAATTCCCTTTGGCTGGAATTCCCTTTGTTTGGGATTCCCTTTGTTTGGAATTCCTTTGTTTGGAATTCCTTCATGTGGAATTCCCTCGTGTGGGATTCCCTTGTTTGAATTCCTTTGGCTGGAATTCCCTGCTTGGGATTCTTTCGCTTGGAATTCCTTCGTGTGATTCCCTTGTTTGGGATTCCTCATGTGAATTCCCTTCGTGGGATTCCCTTGTTTGGAATTCCCTTTGTTTGGGATTCCTCGTTTGAATTCTCGTGTGGAATTCCCTTTGTTTGGAATTCCCTTTGTTTGGAATTCCCTTTGTTTGGAATTCCCTTTCCCGCCCCTTCCCAGCAGCCCCGGGATTATCTGGGAGGAGTCCCCGGTCGGGGCTTCATTTCCCCTCCAGGGACCCCCGCATTCCCAGGATCCTCCCC